CAGGGTCCTGGGATCAAGACCCTCATTGGGCTCCTTGCTTAGTAGGGAGCCTGCTTCTCTCTCTGCATCTGCCTGCCACTCTGCCTGATTATGCTCTCTCTCTCTCTCTCTCTCTCTGATAAATAAATAAACAAAATCTTTAAAATATCTCTGCAAAGAGGGGCACCTGGATGACTCAGTGATTTAAGTGGCTGCCTTCAGCTCAGGTTACAATCTCAGGATCTTGGGATTGAGCCCAATGTGGGGCTCCCTGCTTAGCAGGGAGTCTACTTTTCCCTCTCCTTCTGCCTCTCCTCCCCTCCCACTCATGCTCCCTTTCTTTCTCCCAAATAAATAAATAAAATCTTAAAAAAAAATCTCTGCAAAGAAAAGTCTGGGACCAGAAGTTTCCATTGTCATTTAAAGAAGAATTAATACCAATTCTACTCAAACCATTCCAAGAATTTGAGGGCGGGGGGCATCTAATACCACTTTACAAGATTAGCATGAATGTTAGTATCAAAACTAGACAAGGACACTACAAGAAAAAGAAATTATAAGCCAGTATTGCTGATAAACATAGCAGAAATGCTCAAAAAGGTATTTGCAAAGTGAATTCAACAGCTTATTAAAAGATTCATACACCATAATGAGTTGGGTTTATCCATGGGCCTCAAGATTGGTTCAACATAAGCAAATCAGTAATATGATAAACCCAATTAACAATACAAAATGTAAAAATCATATAATCATCCCAGTAGATAGAGGAAAAACATTTGACACAGATCACAATCCATTTATTTACAATAGCATCAAAAGTAATAAGATAGATGCAGAATAAATCTATCCAAAGAGATGAAAGACTTGTATCCTGAAAACAATAGGAAAATAATAAAATAAATTAAAGAAGATGTAAATAAATGGAAAGATAGTCCATGTTCATGGATTGGAATAATTAATATCATTAAAGTGTGTGTACTGCCCAACAGATACAATTCCTGTCAAGATCCTGCTGGCACTTTTTGCAGAAGTATAATAAACAATCCTAAAATTTGCTATGGAACCAAAGACTCCCAAGTAGCCAAATCAATCTTGAGAAAGAAGAGCAAAGCTGGTGCCATCGTGCTTCTTGATTCCAAACTAATATAGAGTGATTAAAATGAAAACAATATCATATTGGCAGATCAATTGGCAGGAACAAAATTAGGAGCCAGAAATAAGCTCACACGCATACCCTTAATTAAAATTTGATAAGGGAGCCAAAATACACATGAGGAAAGTAGTGTCTTCAGGAAAGAGAAAAGTTGGATATCCACAAGTGAAAAAAAAAAATGAAAGGCTATATTAAACCACTGACAAAAATTAGCTCTAGATGAATTAAAGACTCAAATTTGACTTGAAACCATGGAAGTCCTAGAATATACATAGGGAAATATCTTCTTGACACTGGTCCTGGCAATGATATTCTTTGGATATGACAGTAAAAGCTGAAATAAGTAAATGTATCAAATGAAAAACTTCTACTCAGCAAAAACAGAATAAAAAGGCAACCTATGGAATGGGAGAAAATATTTGTAAGCCATAAATCTGATGAGGGAAATATATATATACATTATATACATATACATATATATGCCTATATATACATACACACATACACATAATATGTGTATATTATATATATATGTATTACATATATATGTGTTTATAAGTTGTATTATATATATACAACTCTAGAGCAAAAAAAAAAAAAAAAAAGCCAAATAAAAATGAGCAAACATCTAAATAAACATTTTTCTGAAGAATACATGCAAATGGCCAATTGGTACTCAAAATCACTAATCGTCAGGCATATGAGATTAGAACCACAATGAACTATTTATCTCATACCTGTTAAAATGGCTTTTATCAAAAAGACAAGAGATAACAAATGCTGAGAATGTGGAGTAAAGGGAACACTTGTATACTTTCAGTGGGAATGTAATTTGTTATAGGCATATGGAAAACGTGTGGAAGTTCCTCAGAAAGTTAATAGAACTACAATATGATACAGCAATCTCATTGCTGGGTATATATCTGAAGAAAATGAAATCAATATCTTGAAGAAATATCTGTACCTTCGTGTTCATTACAGCTTTATTCACAATAACCAACATACAGAAAAAAACTATATGTCCATTTATGGATGAATGGATAAGGAAGATGTGATAAATATATACTTTTTTTTTCAATGGAATACCATGAGAGAAAGTAAAATTTTGCTATTTACAACATGTAGATAAATAATGATTAAACTTCAAGTCTAACTTATATATAAAATCAAAAGAAAAAAAGAAAAGGTCAAATTCATAAAACAGAGAGTAGAATAGTAAATACCAGTGGCTTGCAGATGGAGGAAATGAGGAGATGGTGGTCCAAGGTGTAAGCCTTCAGTTATAAGATGAATAATTCAGAAGATCTAACATACAGTCTGATGACTACGGTTAGTAATAATGTGTTGTATAGCTGAAATTTGCTTAGAGAGTAGATATTAACCATTCCACCCACAAAAATATGTAATTATGTGAGGTGATTAATGCAATTTTAATTTTTTTCCAAGTGTATATGTGTACCAAGTCATCTCATTGTATACTTTATATATAGAATTTTGTTAATTATACGTCAATGAAGTAGTAGAGAAAACCATTAATACAGTACAAAAGATAAGGAAATAAGAATGAAAGTAATAACTATAAAACATAATCAAATAACAAAGGAAGTCATCAAAAGTGGAAGAGATTGAAAAAAAATCACAAAATAGAAGATAATTAGCCAAATTTGAATAGTGAGTGTTCACCTGTCAATAATTCCTTTAAATGTAAATGGATTAAACTTACGTATTAAAAAGAATACAGCACCTGAACAGGTAAAAAACAAGAACTCACTTTAGATTTAAAGACACAATAGGCTAAAAGTGAAGAAATGTAAACAGATATTTCATGTGAATGACAACCAAAGAATGTTGGAGTGCCTATACTTTTTTCAGTAAAATTAAAAATTAACTTTATGTCTCAAACTGTCTCTCAAGACACAGAAGGTCATTATATAATAATAAAGGAGTCAATTCAAGAGGAAGATGTAACAATTCTCAACATATGTGGATCCAGCATTGGAACTCCTAAATATATAAAGCAAATATTGACAGATCTAAAGAGGAGAAATTGGCAGAAACACAATAAAATTAGGAGACTTCAATACCCCATTTTGAGTAATGGATAGCACACCGAGACAGAAATTCAAGAAAGAAGCCCTAGATTTGAACAACAATACAAACAAAATGGACCTAATAGATATATGTGGAATTTTCCACCCAACAGTGGAAGAGTACATTCTCCTCAACTGCATGTGAAAGATTCTATACAGTATCTTTTCCAACCACAAAAGAGTAAAACGAGAAATCAGTAACAGCAAAAAGAAGGGGAAAACTCACAAATACATGGAAAGAAAACACACTCTCAAACAATGTGATCATAGAAGAAAGTGCAAGAGAATTTTTTTTAAATCTCTTGAGACAAATGAAAACAAAAACACAATGTAACAAAATTCAGAGATGCTGCAAAAGCAGTGGGAAGAGGGAAATTTTTAGTGACAAATGCCTACGTTAAAATAGAAGTTCATATATAAACAACCTAACTTTATGCCTCAAGGAACTATAAAAACAAACCAAGCCCAAAGTTAGAAGGGAAGCAATAATAAAGATTAGAGCAGAAATGAATCAAATGGAGAATAAAAAACAACCTATTCCACCATCTCCCTAACAACAGGCTGTATTTTCAAATTTATATACATGTTGGGTTATCTTGACTTTTATTTTCTAATTTCTTAAAGCAGAAATAATGAGTCAATATGCAGTCTACTCTTTTCTACCATAGCTATATAATGGTAAAATTTCCCTCTCAGCACTACTTTAGTATCATCTCACAAAATTTTATTTAAATTTTTTTATCATTCCATTCAAAGGGCTTAATGTCTATTCTTTTATTATTTATTTTTTAATTCATTCATTCATTCATTCAGTAGGCTCTATGCCCAGCATGGAGCCCAACATGAGGCTTGAGCTCACAGCCCCAAGATCAAGACCTGATCTGACCATGAGAGTCAGATGCTCAACTAACTGAGCCACCCAGGTGCTGCTTTAATGTCTTTTTTTTTTTTAAGATGATATACATTTAATTCCATACAGTGTTTAATATTCCATGTATCCCATGTCCTATTTACTAGGTGCTCCAAGTGAAGGTATTAAATTATGAGATAAAATTGTGAAATAAAATAAAACCATGAAAATATACATACTTCATGTTTTCTCCTTTGATTTCTTCATTCATGGGCGAGACAATAAATAAAGATGAATTTGTGAAGAAACCAGATAACTGACAGAAGTCTTTATTGTTTCAGGTGAAGTTATACTTAATTTGAGGATCATCATTTTGGTCTAAGAAGATAAATGAATATGTCATATTCATCGAACTCCATGTATCCGTATGGTTTTAAGCACCCAGTTATGGTGACAAACATTTCAAATTATCAGAGTTGTAATAGTTATGGTGGCAGATTCTCTGAGATCATCACCTGATCTGAGATACCCCAATTAGTTAACCGAATGCTAGGGTTGCTAAAGAGATCCTGAGTACACAATATTTAAAACAAGTGTCTGGAAAGGATCTATTGCCAGTATAATTCTGGCATGCTGTAGGATTCCAGATCCATTAGACAAACAAATTTCTAATAATTTCCTAGAAGGGATTCTGAGTATTCTAAATTTTGCTTCTTTATTCCCAAAAAAATTTTTAATGAACAATCCTGATTTAATATCTATGGAAACTCATAGCTTATTTTCTCTGTCACAAGAATTTTCATGATTCGGATTTTCTGGGTTTTCATTTATAAATGACTCCTTATTTTTTTATTGTTATATTATTTGAGTCTTCATAAAAAACGTTTATTTACATGCTTATCTTTTCCTTATACTTTCTCCCTTTCAGAAAGATGTTTAAAATCAGAGATAACAGGGGAGAGGAGTCAAGATGGCGGAGAAGTAACAGCTGAGACTACTTCTAGTGGGAGATCAGCTAAATAGCTTATCTAAAGATTGCAAACACCTA